CTTCTTGTTACTACTAGTAAGGCACTTGTTACTAGAAGCGATGCACTGGTTCCTAGTAGCTTATCTGTCATCTTTTTGTATTTGCTTCGTCATGGCCCTGTTTAGCTTCAGTTTCCTTCTGTGTTGGGTAGGACATGGTAGGACGCTGAAATCGGTCTCTCCCAGCTTGCAAGCTACTTGGGTTCGTGCTTGTCTCTGTGGATTCGTGGATAGGAAAAACAAAAAAGCATAACTCCGAGCACACACGCACAATTTCTTTGCATCAACGTCTATGTCGTAGCTCATCCTCTACCTGTGACCTTGAGCTGTCTGCCGCTGGCGATTTCTGGCACCTTGCTATCCGTGTATCTTGGGAACCTTTGAAGACGGAAGAACAAACAAGTCTAGATCCCCGGCTGCACAGGTGGTGGTCCAGCGGCCGTTTGCGCCTCAAATGAACAACAAGAATGCAACAAGAATGCATTCCCCATGCTTTATTCCGTTGTTTGTGTTCCTGTTGATTTTTCCCATGTGTGCTCATGTGTGCTCTCTACCAACTTCTTCCGCCTGGACGTGCACTCTGTAGTTCATGGGAGTGTACATCCTGCAAGGGAGCCCATGCCAACAGTGTTGCCAAACAAATAAAGCTAGGTGAACACAACAAACAGAACACTCACATTCTCAACATGCGCAATTCTTGAACGTGCAAGCTAAAGACTAATTGTGACGGATTATGTGATTATATGTGATTGATTGTGATTGTCAGCCATATTCTGCTTCAGGTGCCATCGGATCAGAACCTGAAGCTTTCGAAGGCCTAACGCGGGTCCTCTGAATGGGTTCCTTTGGCGAATCCTCAGAATCAAACAGACTCATCCAGGCAGAAACTGAATGGAGGCCATCGCTTTTAGGTTGGAGGCCATCGCTATTAGGTTGGGTCTTCGGTGCCTCTCAAGCGGCCAACCGACTGGCAACTCCTCTGTGTGAAGATTGAGGACGCTGAACTACCTCGAATGGCAAGCTGGGGGCGCCCCACTCGTCGCTCATGAGAGAACATCCTGAGCGAAATACAGGTCCATTCAGGATCTTCCATGGCAAAACACAACAGTGGAAGCCCAGCCTTCACGTTGCGGCTGGTCCAACTGGGAGCCGTGAACAGATTGACAAACTTTATTGACACGCGTCATTGCGAATTTGAATGTTAGACTCATAGACTGCTAGACATCGGATCGATTGCACCGCTGAATGGTAGTCTATGAAGGAGTCTGTTTTGCTGAATTGTCCATACTGCCCTTTGTGAAACCTTGATTTGGAAGGCGCATCAGGGTTCTGAAAGTTCCCTCGGTTTCCTTGGCTTTTCATTTCGAAATTTTGTTGTTCGTCTCTCGTCTATCCAGTCTCCTTCTTGCTTCTTCCAAAGCTTGGAAGAATCACACCCTTTTCCTCGCCAGGCGTCTGGAAAGACCTCCCGAGTACTGCATGACCGGGCCGGTACTAGGGACGCGAAATGCTTCCGGCCGATCGACGGAATCGTGTGAGACCGTCCTTCAGCGTTTGCTGTCCTTGGACACAAAACGGCAAATTCATCTCTGATCTTTCATGATTGTCTCAAAATACTGGCTGATCAGTGTCGAATGAATGAATCCTTTTGGTGCGAATCGTTCTGAGTATCCAGACAGTGTAGAACCTACAGGACGCATTTTCCTCAGCACATTCAGTGCTACGTTTGTCTTTAAAACGAACCAGAAAAGCAGTGAAAAGACTGGGTTGCCGGACCCATGCCCAGAAGACCAACGTCTTCCGCAGGCCGGTCCTTTTTTGTCTGCGCAAGGCGCTCCATTTGCAGCTTATTGGAAAAAGGAAGGCAGTGCAACTACTGTAGGGCAGAGCACATCACGTCTTTTGCCAACTGTATGTTGCACCACTCTTTTCTCAAAAAACCTGTAAAACTCTCCCTCTCACCCTCATGAGGGCCCCACTTAACAACCGAGACCCTGTGCATCAGCCTGCGGCAAGTCTGCGTTTGTGTGCACAAAAAGCACTTCTTTCAAGCGTGGGATGTTTGAACAAAAAATCTGCTGCGTGGGTGTGCAAAAAAGAAGCTATAGTTTGTCGCCCTGTTTGCATTCCCGCGTGTTATCTCATTTACTGCGGCCTGCAGTATAAAGTGGAAGTTTTGTAACAAAAGTGGGCATATCGTCCAGGACATGTTCAAGGACCACCTGGTGGTCGGCCTGGGATGTCCACCAGCCGTGGAACGGGGGACATAGTTCTGCGACAACTCTTTGGACATTCGAACCAGCACTTGTCATTTTTTCTGCTAACTCTCGTCTAAACTAGGTGTGTGCAACTGGCATCTCCATGTCGCCGAAAATTCACGTTGAGGGGTATACTGTTCAGTGTCACAATCTTAATGACTGTCTAGAATGCACTTTGTCCATTGGTTTCCAATACTCAACCCTCCTTTTCACTGCCTGGTGTGCAACGCTGTACTGAAGCACAAAATGCAAGAAATTATGAGAACAATTCCACTTTTCGAAGAAAACATCCCCCACGCACTGGTGCTTCGCATGTGTTTGAGGCAAAGATTTGCCTAGTCTTCTTCGGGCATGTGCGCTTGGGACGAAGACCGTGCGCTTTCCCAATTTGGTCTACGAAATTGGGGCCAATGACCGGCAAGTTGCCCTGTGCATCCCTATTTGAGGAATCACCAAGAGGTAAAAGAATCCAACTGCAGTAGGGTGAGTGGATGGCATGTTCGTGGTTGCATTGTTGGACACCAAATTCTTGTAGAGAAGATTGAGGATTTGTTGATGTAAGTTGCTTTTTCACAACCAGGCAATTAAACAATGCAACATTAATCAAAAAAATGCTACTTTCTGTGCAGGTGAAAGGACCACGGCCTTTTGGATGGAAAGATCAAGGCATCCCCGGCATCAAAGGAGATGGCGCGTGTGACCTCAAACAACCAAAATGACTTGTTCAAAACAAATCGCCAGGGCTTCGCTTGTTGATGAAACTGTGGCAATCACTTCGCAAGTAAACTGCTGACTAAGGCTGTTTTGCTACCCCTTTCTTCACAGATTTCAGAGATGGAAGGGCAAAGCTATCTATGTCTGGATCATAGAGTCCATAAAGCAGTGAAAAATGTCCATGTCTGTTCTATTTAAAGGAAGGTGAATGCACGAAAACCATGGTCTAGTATGGCTTCTTTTGATTCTAAGGTCATGGCCTTCTTCCCACTTGGCCCTTTCACCTTTGCTTGGAAGCTTCCGCCAGTGTACTCACCTCACCGGAAGTGCCCCCTTCCATCTCTCTGTGCTAAGATTCATTGAGGTTGCGTTCTGCTTAGCTCTGCTTCTGTCAAATAAGAATTCGTGGCAAAGAGTTGTAGCAATTGTCCCAGACCGGGCAATTCTTTCCCGGCAGCGCTGCTCGATGTCAGTAACAACTGAGCTCCATACTTTGCTTTGAAAGCATGAGCACAACCTGGCGAACGGAACAGGCGACTCTAGATGGAGCTTCTTTCTCTTCTTTTATGAAATACGTCGTCAAAGAAATAAAAGGCTACAAAAAGAAATAAACACATATCTCCGGGAGGCCAGAAGCGCTTCGTGTGCCAATGCTCCTAAAAGTCAACAGGTGACTCCCTGCTTCGCCTTTACGATTCTCTGTTGTGAAGCCAGTTCAGGTTCCGACTGGTTCCTGGTTCCTAGCGGTTGTCCTAGCGTTCCTGTTTCAGGTTTTTGCTAATGGCTGGCAGATCACGAGGAAGTAACTTTGGATGTGCTTGCACATTTTGGATCCTTCATTTGTCACTTTGGAAGTCAATGGCTATGGTGTGGTAATGCGGCTGAGCCGAGCTGCCAAGCTTTTGACAGGAGACGGCAAACATTGGCCGCCTTTGCACTTCGACTGCCCATGCAGCCTGAGTTCGAGGTGCAGTTGATAGCACACCTGTTCTGGCGAAGTCGTCGCGGAGATCGCCGAAGTGTACGAGGTGGGTTGATACCATCTCCATCGATATTAATTGTTCATCCCATTGAAATCTCCTCCGAGCGGATAGGGAAGCCGGAGCCGGGAGCGGGCTCGGCGTGGCTTTGCATTTGACAGCAATCTTCAGATCCGGAGTTTTGGAGCACGAAGTTTTGGGACCCATTTGCTGTGTGGCTGGCGAGCCAACCCTGCAAGGTTCGAATTCGAAGGTGCATCGATCCACCCCGCTACCGAGTGCGGCAAGGAGAGTGACGGTACATGGGCTATGACGCTCAAAGAATCTCCGGAAGGATTGTGGCGTTGGATCCGTTTTTCAGCATGCCTTGCCACCTACAGGGACTAAGGTCTTGCTGGTTGAGTTTTGTAGGTTTGTTTCGAACCTTCTTGCGGAGTTCAACTTTGCAAAACAAGGGCAAGAATTTAACCCTGCGACAGTGCACCCTCTAAACTAGTAATGCACGTCTGCGGAAGAGATAATTGATAATTACCTTCTTTGTCATTCATTATCATTAATGAAAAAGGCAGGTCTTTGCTGGTGCGTAAAGCAAAAAAGGTACCACGCACTGAGGCCCATGACCGTCATTTGTCGAGCATCCTGGCAAGGGCGACGAACATGTCTACCCATAACGGACGCTATGCTCGGTGGAGGCCATCGCTACTAGTAACAAGAAGCTACTAGGAGCGGTCTTCGAAGCTACTAGGAGCAAGAAGCTACTAGAAGGTCTTTGGACGCTACTAGTACCAATAAAGCTATTAGTAGGTCTTTGAAGCTACTAGCAACTAGAAGCTACTAGTAGCTAGAAGCATACTACACATGTAAAAAAAAGTAACACTACACATGTAAAAGATGTATTTCGCTCGGCGCCTCGGGATCATTGCCTTTGACAAATGCATCCTGCACACAGCGAGCACAAAGTGACTGCGAACAGAGGTAAAGAGACAAACAGTCCAACAAAATGCAACAAGCACCCAATTGGAAGAGAAACATTGGGCAGTTGTGCAGTTTGGCAGTGTATTTGTGGGATTTTGTGAGTACGGGTAGGATTCACCATGTTTGACAAATCTGCCTAAATCATGAAACATCGCTGAACCAGCGCTGAGTTACCATTTTGATCATGAACAGCACTCATCCTGCACTCAATGAGATTTTCGCGTCACCTCTGGAGCGGTTACGGTTGCTGGCTGGTGTTTTGCTGCACGTGTTATCTTCGCATCAGGTGGGCTTCATTCATGAAGCTATGCTAAAAGCATCTTTAGCAGCTTTGAACCATTTTCGGCCAAAAGTTCTCAGCATGCTTTGTGTCTTTCACTCAAAACCCTCTCTGGGTCGCCCGAAAGAGAGAACACGCCAAACAAAACAATCAAACGACCGAAAACGACCAGCACAGCGACATGGGTGAAAACGGGTGAAACATTCAATCGGGTAACGACGAACCTGAACTACTGGGTGGTCGCCCTAAGGCACGGTATGTGACCAAAAGGCACAGCATGACCTCCAAAAGAATGCGCGAAAGGCACTGTAGGATGTCAAGCAGCACAGCATCAAGCATTCTATCCACAATTTTAGCGTCTTCTTCTTTGCCCCTTGCTCTTACAAAAGAAGATTGCACTAATCCAGATGATGTATTTTCCGATACACAAGAAGCTACAGTAACAAGTGCATCGCTACGAGTAACAAGGACATTACTACTAGTAGCAAGAAGCTACTCCTAGTAGCAAGAAGCTACTACTAGTAATGCCCTTGTTACTAGTAGCGATGCACTTGTTCTAGATGTATTGGCAAATTCTCATACATCCCAAGCAGCTGCTGGAGTGGGGAGTGTTCCTGGTGCCAGGCGTTGAAGTGCTGCCCAGGACCATAGACAGAGTACTGCACCTCCTACGTTGTGTGGAGGTCACACCCAAGTTTTTCAGGAAACGTGCACCCAATTCAAGTCTGCTTTGAAAGAGCTTGGAACACCATGTGTAACTACTCACCCTTGACCTTTGTAGTCCCTCTTTGAGGCAAAACTTTCAAACCAACACCTCAGTTCTTCAAAAGAAAGCGCTCAACCAAGTTCGCACAGAACATCTCACCCAACATGGCACGCTGCCCAAGAATACATGGACTGGTAGACTGATATGTCAAGAAGAGATCTGCAGATTTGCAGAATTCCTCGTAGGTGCATTCCAGTTCTCCAGTCTTGCAGACCTCAGGACACAGAAATCAACACCTCTTCCCCTCTGCGAAGTGGAGACTGCAACTCTCAACTTTTTTCTCCATTTCACATCATTTGAAGGAACAAGAAGCTACTAGGAACAAGTGCCTTACTAGTAGAAACAAGAAGCTACTAGTTGCTTTTGCAACGCTTCTTTCATGGTCCTTCTGTTTTCCTTCAGACCATTTCAGACCTGTAGACCTTTCTTTTTTATCGTCATCTTTAGACCTTTGGACCCTTTCTTGTTCTATATTTCTGTAACCTTTAGAGCAAGACCTTTAAATGAAACTAGTGTCCTTCCTCTAGTTTATAGACTGTTCCTTCCTTCATTCCTTCTTTCTCTCCTTCTTTCTTAGCTTGTTTTCTTATGTTCCTTTAGACGTCTAGACATGTAGTTTCTGTTCATTGTTTATGATGCTTGTGATCCTTTATCTGTGCGGTTTGTTGAAACATGTATGTCTTTCCTTGCTTCCTTTGTGCTTTCAGCCGTTCATTCTTTCTTTTCCTTTTTGCATGTGCTGTTTTGACCTTTGGACCTTGCTCTTGCCTTATATAATCAACTCTTCAGTCAAGTCTTCAACTCACTTCCTACTTCGGGCCTTGATGATGGGCCAATGCGTGTTGGCCTCCCTTACCTCACAAATCAAATCTGCGAATGGCATCTCTAGTTCAAATGCTTGGCAACTGGAAAACTCGTCAAAACATTGCAAAACTCATCGCTTCATGCCTCCAACCTAAATGCGATGGCCTCCAAATGCTAATTGCGAAAGTGGGTTGCAGAGCAGGTTGCTCAGACCACTTCTTCAATGGAGTGTGTTGCCAATTGATGCGGAATCTGTTCAACAAAGTCTGCCAGACTTTGGCCATTCTCTTTCACGTCGACCGGCATTGCTCTAAGTCAAATGTGTCCAGTTCTGTCTTACGTCTTTTAACTTTCCCTCCCCCAATTGTCACTCAACCCTTCGGCACCAAGTTGATTGAAGTCGCTAAGCACAGAAGCCTTTGATATACCAAAGGGCATTCCACCTCAGGGAGATCAAATCTCCGGTTTTGTGCTTGCTTTCTTTTTCTTTCTCAATCTTCACGAATTACGTCGAAAAGAAACACATCTACAAACATGTCAACATGACTCCGACTCTCCATTTTGCGTTCATCTACGACTCCGACTGATCCAGCACATTCCTTTGGCATGTCGTGTCACGTGTCGTGTCACGTGTCGTGTCACGTGTCGTGTCAC